ACAGTGCAATGATTCTCATGGTGCTAAGGCACTCACAGAAGGGGACCTAAGTTGATACTGCATAATCTCCGAACTGTTTCTTTAACTAATATCCTCACTCACATCGTGTTTATTTTATTTCTGGCAGTGACCTGAAATCTTGAGGCCCACATTTATTGAAAATTTGTCAAACCGTATCTGATTGTTGCATGTGTACACAGTGCGGTTGGGGGGCAGAGGTTTGGTTGCAGGATATTTTTATTTAAGAAGATTGTATCTAGGCAGTCCATGCCAGGAATACATTATCAAAAACTACTTATGCACTTTCATAGAAAAGAAGTGTAGCATGCATTTTTGTTTGCAGCAGTCTTTTCAGAGGTAGGAGAGCAAAGTATGGTAAAGAGAACTATTCAAAACTAGAGCTCTCCAATTGGCTAGCTATTTCAGTTCAATGTGTAAAAAACATAAGTTCTGTTGACTGATTCTTTGAGTCCAGAATGTCTTTTGTTTCTTGGTTTCATGCAACCTCCAAATCTCCTTTCTTTCTGTGTGTCCAATCCCACCACACTTGCTGATCCCTGAACCCTTTGTGATGTTCATCTATAACATGAGCTCCCCCCTGTTCACATATTTTCCAGTTCCTTGACTCTTCTGCTCCATGTTCCTTTAGATTTCAGCTTCTCCAGTTCTTCACTTAGGTACTTATTTCTCAGCCTATTGCTTATATTTCCTTCCTTCAGACATTCTCAACTGAGCATTCTAATTATACCCAGCATGGAAATACATAAAATGACATTCAGAGTTGTAGCCTGTGTCACTTACAGAAAGTTGAGCATTGATTTGATTGTACACTAGAATTCACTCAAATGCAGCTTATTGATCTGTCTGATCTACAAGAATACACATGAAGAAAATGCTTTGTCCAATACATCAACTTTACAATAAATAGAGAAAGGTTTTTATATGTATAATTCCTGAAATTTAACTCCAGGATTACAATGACTCAAGGGAACAATTTAAAAGGGAAAAAATAATGGAGAGAGCAATCCTGCAGATGGCTTGGAAAATCACTACCAAGGTCAGAGGCAGCAGCACCTTAGAAGGAAGAGTCAGAGCGCCAGCCTCTGACCCCCAGCCTCTGACCCCCAGCCTCTGACCCCCAGCCCCGTACAGTCAACATGAAGAGCAGCATACCAACTGCCTCTCTGAGGTCAGAAGGTCAACCTTGGAGAGGGTGAAAATGGAGTGTGCCAGGAGGTATGGAAGTGTGCCAGGAGGTATGGAAGACAGGAGACCATAGAGGCCAGGAGATTATCGATGTCAAGCCATCTCTAGCCAATTTCCTTTCTTCTCCAAATTGCCTTCACAAGATGGCTTAGAAACATAGAAACAGAGCGAGTCAGAAGGCGCCTCCTGGGCCATCTTGTCTGACCTCCAGCACCAGCCGGCTCTGCTCACAACATGCCCACCATGTGCATGTCCAGCCTATCCTTGAACACCTGCACTGATGGGGCCTCAACGACCTCTCGTGGAAGCCCATTCCAAACCCTCGGGGTCCTGACTGTCAGGAAGTGCTTCCTGGCATCCAAATGGAACCTTGGCTCCCTGAGCTTTGCTCCGTTGGAGTGCGTCCTGCCTTCCTCTGCAGGGGAGAACAGGTCTCTACCCACCTCCATGTGACATCCCCTCGCATACCTGTATGTTGTCAACAGATCCCCTCTGAGTCTCCTCTTCTCCACACTGAAGAGACCCAGTTCCCTCAGTCTTGCCTCATACTGAATCCCCTGCAAACCGGCCACCAACCCTGTGGCCGTACACTGCACTGACTCTAACCTAGCTATATCCTTTCTGTAAAGAGGGGCCCAAAACTGAGCACAATACTCCAGTTGTGGGCGCACCAGAGTCGTATAGAGTGGTAGTGATACCTCTCTTGATCTAGAAGCCACACTTCTGGCTATGCAACCAAGGGTGGTGTTTGCCCTCTTGACCACTGACTCATGTTTAGCCTGCAGTCAACCAGTACCCTTAAGTCCCTTTCACAAGTGCTGCTCTCCAGCCACTTGTCACCTAACCTGTACTTATGACAGCTATTGCTATGCCCCATGTGCAAGACCTTGCACTTATCCACATTCAATGCCATTCTGTTGTCTCCTGCCCACTTCCATAGTCTGTCCAGATTCTTTTGGATCTGGAGTACCTGCTCCTCAGTTGTGGCCACTGCTCCAGTTTTAGTGTCATCTGCGAATTTGATCAGCAGACTGTTCACCCCTTCTTCCATGTCATTGATGAAAAGATTAAACAGGATCGGCCCCAGGACAGAGCCCTGGGGGACCCCGCTTGTCACTGGCTGCCATCCCAATGATTCCCCACTAACGGTTACCTTCTGCTTTTGGTCAGTCAACCATGCCCTAATCCACCGGACGGTGCTTTGGTGTATCCCAAAACTCCTCAGTTTCTCCACCAGGATATCATGGGGCACTTTGTCAAAGGCCTTGCTGAAATCCAGGTAAACCAATCCACTGCATCCCCTCCATCTAGCCATCGCAAAACCTTGTCATAGAATTCCACTAGGTTTGTCTGGCAGGATCTGTTTTTGCGGAAGCCGTGTTGTGTGGCTGTCAGCCTCCCTTCCCTACCTAGCATCACTAGATCTCTCTCTATTATGAGCCTTTCCACTGTTTTTCCTACAATGGATGTAAGGCTAACTGGTCTATAATTCCCCATGTCCTTTCTACTACCCTTTTTGAAAATTGGGACCACTGATGCCACCCTCCAGTCCTCTGGAATTTCACCCGTTCTCCACGAGGTCTCAAAAATGGAGGCCAGCGGGCGTGAGAGAACCCCTGCCAACTCTCTAAGTACTCTCGGGTGTAACCCGTCAGGGCCTGGCGCCTTTGTAATGTCCAATGCCCTGAGGAGCCCCTCAACTTCAAGGGGGGGTGACTCTAATCTGTGCCTCTATGTCCCCAGCCTCATCTAATCTCCTATGCGGATCTCCCCCGTCCTGCTTTGGGGAGAACACAGAGGCAAAATAGTCATTTAGCATCTGTGCCTGTTCCCTCGTATCAGTCACTGGATCCCCTTCCTCCTTATTTAGTGGTCCCACCACTTGTCTCCCCTTCCTCTTCCTATTTCGGTTCGGTTCGGGCTTCGGAGAAGGTGAATTGAACCTTGTCCTGAACGGGGTTGCACTCCCTCCCAGGGACAAGGTCCGCAGCTTGGGAGTGCTCCTCGACCCGGAGCTTTCACTGGAAGCTCAGGTAACAGCAGCGGCGAGGAGCGCTTTCCTCCAGCTTCGGCTGATTCATCAGCTGCGCCCCTATCTGGAGTACGACAGCCTCGCAACAGTGACCCATGCACTGGTGACTTCCCGTCTTGACTTCTGTAACGCGCTCTATGTGGGGCTGCCCTTGAAGACGGTCCGGATACTTCAATTGGTTCAAAATAGAGCTGCCAGGCTGCTGACGGGGACTGGACGTTATGCTCACATGACTCCAGTTCTCCATCAGCTTCACTGGCTTCCCATTGAAGTCCGGGCCCAATTCAAGGTGTTGGTGATGACCTATAAAGCCCTAAACGGCTTGGGTCCTGGTTACCTGAAGGAGCGCTTACGTCCATATATGCCCAGCCACCCCTTGAGATCAGCAGGAGAGGCCCTCCTCCGGGAGCCCTCAGTGAAGGAAATTAGGAGGGTGGCTACTCAGAGGAGGGCCTTCTCAGCGGTGGCGCCTAAGTTATGGAATGCGCTCCCCAGAGAGGTCCGCCTGGCACCGTCGTTATTTGTTTTTCGGCGCCAGGCGAAGACCTTTTTATTTAAGCAGCATTTTAAATGTTAATATTATTGAATTTTATTCGGCCAGGGCGGCTTATTTTATTTTACTGTATATATTTTAATTGTTATTGTTTTAATGTATTTTGTATTTGATGTTGTATGCCGCCCCGAGGCCTTGGCAAGGGGCGGCATAGAAATGTTTTAATAA